CTCTGCTCATGCATTTCCTGCCCTGGGTGGGAAGTCGGCGACTCTCCCCAAGCCCCGTGCCATGTGGTGAAGTGGGTCCCTGCGACTGCACTCTGGGCGCGAGGGCTCCCACTGCCCCTGCGTGGCCATCATTTCTAGGCTTTCTAGGGAATATGTGTTTTCTATGAGGAAGAAAATCATGACCTCAAACTAATATTTCCAGTTCAAATTTAGAATTTTAGGTTTTAATTATATCTTTTTAAAAAATATATTTTTATTGATTTCAGAGAGGAAGGGAGAGGGAGAGAGAGATAGAAACATTAATGATGAAAATCAAGAATAATTGATCGGCTGCCTCCTGCACGCCCCCTACTGGGGATTGAGCGAGCCTGCACCCCAGGCGTGTGCTCTTGATGGGAATCGAACCCAGGACTCTTCAGTCCGCAGGCGGAGGCTCTATACACTGAGCCAAACCTGCCTGGATGGTTTACTTACATCTTAAATTTTGTATTTCTATTTTATTTTTACATTACATTACAATACATTAACATATTGTTTACTTTGTTCTACAATTTGATGTACTCGGAAGGAGACATCGCTTCTGTGGCATTCTTCTCCAAAATCCATAATTTCAACCGTATCTAATAAGAAAGCATCAGGTAGACTCACAGGGAGGGACGTGCAACAAAGTGACTGACCAGTGCTCCTCCAAAGGGCCAAGGTCATGGAAGACAAGGAAAGACAGCAATTGTTACAGAGGACAAAACAACTAAATGCGCTGTGGGATCCTGAATTGGATCCTGGAACAGAAAAGGCACATTAGTGGGAAAACTGGTAAAATGCAAGAAAAGTCAATATTTAGTTCATGGTATTGTACCAATACCAATTTCCTGGTTTTGATAATTATACTATGGTTTGCTTATGTAAGGTGTTATCATCAGGGGAAGCTGGGCAAAGAACATATAGGAAATCTGTGTACTATTCTTCCAACAACTTTTCTCTAAATCTAAATAATCTAAAACTATTACAACATAAAGTGAGTCCCACGCCCCCACCCCCGAACTTTTTTCCAGTGCCACCCATATCCTTCATGGCGCTCATCACATACAGTGACCATGTTTGTTTACTTTCGTGTTTGCTACCTGACTTCCCGCCGCACTACACACTCGCTGGCGGCCGGCTGGTCCAGCTTGTCTGCAGTTTCCCCAGGCCAAGCGGCTCGCATTCAATAAGCACTGCTTTCAAACGTGTCAAATGAATGAATGAATGAATGAATGAATGAATGAATATTCCTGGATGTGACCAGGGGAGAGCGAGTGCTCTTAGAAAGCCTCCAGTACATGAGAAGGTGGCATAGTCAGAAGTCGTCTGTCACGTGCCCAGAGGGGAAATTAGGTGCCCCCCAGATTTTGGAGATGGGGGAAATAATTTACTGCCCAGAAACCTTGCTCCAAACACAGTGGTTCCTGTCCCCCACCAGTGCCACCACGGACAGGGGACTCCTGGCAGGACATACTCCGATGGCCGGGATCCAGAGCAGAGGCCAGGCAGGGAGCACCCCCTGCCCCCGGCCCAGCCCATCTGAACCTGCCAGGGGACCTGAAGTGAACTTCGCAGCCCCACAACCGGCAGCAAAATTGTATCCTGGGAAAGCCCGAGAAATCACGTTGTACAGACCTGGGCTTTTCCCATAAATTCCCTCTGAGGATCATCAAGCAATAGCAGCAGGGTGGGGAGCAGCCACGGGCCAAGTCCAACAAGGGTGGGGGTGGTCCCCTGCAGTGGAAGGAGCCCACACAGGGGTGAGGACGTCTGGGTTCCCTCTGTGTGTGGAAATGTGGGAGCAGAGTGTGTGGTGATCTCTGCCCTTAGAGCTTGATGTTGAGAGTCTTCAGCACTTTCATGAAGAAGGGGTTCGTTTCTGCTTTGTGTCCGAGCCAGAATTGGGGCGATGGCCCCAGGGCATTGCTGAGGGGCCACCTCCCCGGTCCTGGACGTCTTTGGGAGACTCCAGACCCTGGTGATGGGGAAGGTGGAGACTGCACATGAAGAGACACCGGAAAGGGAATACTCTTGAACAATGTGTTAGAAGTACTTGCTGGACCATCACCGAGTGCCGGCTATAGTAGCAAACATGGCTTTTTACAGTTTCATCTGACGTGGTGTCAAGTGGGCCTTTTTCAGATGTGGATACTGAGGCCCCGGTGAAGAGGAGGCACCTGGAAGCCATCCAAATGCCTCTCAGCTGAATGGATACACGTGATGGCCTATAATCTTCCTTTCATACTTTTATTCAGAAACGGAAGTCGCATGGCTCCGTTCTCTCCCCCGGGGCTCTTGAGTCTCACACATGAAGCTCCTGATGGTGCTGGCAGGATGTTGTCCCTTTGATGCACCAATTAAGTTCAGAAATGGCAGGCCAGCACCCGTCCCTGCCGCCTGGGGAAGAGCCATGGCTCCTATCTCACCATCCCTGCCCTTTACAGAGCCCTGCATGGAAAGGCTCCCAGTGTCCCCACCTCACAGATGAGGAGACTGAGCCCACACAGGGAAAGTGCTGGGAGGCTGGGACCAGAAGCTCCAGCTACAGGCCAGGCATCTACACTTCTCAGTGCAGGGCAGCCTGCCCAGGAACCACCACAGGGGAAACTCCAGGTCCCATCAAATACTGCTCTTCACTCAGCTTTTGGGGAGAAATATCTTCCCCAACCCAGAGGAGCAACCTCCGAAAAACTCTACACCCACAGAGTTCCAGCAAAGAGGGGGGGCTCGCCCTTTGGCCAGTTACAGTAATGTCTGGTTTAATGCGAGAGCCCAGAAAGTTTTATGTTTCTGATAAAACGCATTCTTTTCCTAAAAGTTTCCCATCTTCCGGGGCTTGGTGGGAGCAGCCAGAGGGGCTGTTTCCTGAGCTGGAGCTCCTGCTGGTTTATCAAAATGCAGGACGGAAGTTTGGAACGAGAATCCGTTAAAGTGAACAAGGTGCTCTTGACCCAGCAAGGGAAGGAGGCCGCACGGCGTGGTGCCCACGTGGAGCTGGCAGGTTTGCGGCTGGTTCCCTCGGTCCCCGGATCCAACATGGGAATCAGCCTCAGGCCTGCAGACAGAGTCCCGGTGACCCGCCCGCCAGTCCCCACTGTGCCTGGGGATAGGTGCACATAGCGGTGCTTTGAGAGGGTCCGTCCGCTGAAGGGTGTGAAGGAACGACACGCCTTCCCTCTGTGCCACACCCCGTGACAGCCAACAGCCGGGGCCTGTTCCGTCCTGCGGTCCCGGGATTCCTACACAGCCCGTAATGGACTCGGTCTGTGTGGTCCCCGAATGCGCGGGAATTGTCACCAAAGTTGTGCGAGTGCGTGTGTCTGCCGAGGACCCTGCCCCCCACGCTCTCGGCCTGTGCGGGAGGACCCCGGTGCCGCCGGTGTCTCTGAAACAGCCTGGCTCCCCGTGGGCATTTGCTGCGTGTCCAGCTTCCTGTCTGGTGATGGGCATTCTATTTCCTCTCCTCCCTGGTCTGGGAATGAAACACTCATCTCCTGCCCAAACATGTGTGTCTGCTGGCCCCACCCAGCACAGCTGTTTGCCCGGCCATCGCTGGACCAGGTTCCCACCGCGAGGACAGGACGTGCTCCCCACATCCGCCTCTGCCACCCGCCTGGTGACTTGTGGTCACTGAGCCCAGTAGCCAGAGAGAGACTTTTTAAAAAGACTCTCAGACATGTAATTAAAATCTCAGTGTTGGGTTTGGGGGAAGGTGCTGGGCGGCTCCCGCCCCTGCTTTCCGGAAACACAGATTTTTAGTGTTTGAAAGTGACAGGAGGCTAAAGTGAGACGGCCCTAAATATACTGTCCTGGGCATTTCCGGCAGCTGGGCATGTGGGATTAATTCTGCACAAGCGGCCTCTTGCCCAAAGTATTGGACCAGGCCCCGCAACGGAGCCACCTCGGGTCCCCCTCCAGCCCATGCTTCACCCCACCTCCATGCACAGCTTCCACACCACACCCTGCTCCCCGCTGCCTGGAGCCTGGCCCCCCACTGGCCAGAGGCACAGCCATGCTCCTAGACCGAACTCCAACTCTCCTCAGTCAGGCCACCGCCAGACTCACAGCCCGTACCCCACCCCTCTGATCTGTGGGTGACCCTGGCCCACTCAACCTGTGCATTTGATGTCCCCTCTGCCTAGAAAGCCCTCCCTGCCACCTCCTCACCTGCCAAGACTCCGTCATCCCATCCTTTGAGGCCAGTTCAGATGTCACCTCCTCCAGGAAGCCCACCCAGATCCTACCACACCATGGGACCTCCAACTCCCCGCACTGACTGGGCCTCCCCAGGAGCTGTCACTCCCACCTTGCTTCTTGTTTCTTTCCATCTCTCCCTCTGGCCCTCCCTCCTCCTTCACCTGCTCCAAGAGGACCCTGCCACCCTTTCGCCCTTCACTGTGTTTTATGGCTGTTGTCTCCCTGTCTGTGCTGTCATCTCTCAGCTCCAGGCCTTTGCTCACACTGGTCCCTTCCTCTGCAGCATTCTTGTCCCGTGACCTCGTGGTAAATTCACTGTCACCCCTCAAGGCCCAGCTCCAAAGTCAGCTGTGAGCGCTCACCGTCCCACGTCCCATCCACACACCTGGTGGACTCTGAAGTGCACTCAGTCATGTCCCTGCCGCCACTCGGCCTCCTCTCCTTGGGTCTGACGTCCATCTCTCAGAGGAGGGACCTGTCCTCTCTGCCTCATCTGTGGGCCCAGAGACAGAGGGGGCGGGGCCGGACCTGCTGGGTCGGAGGCTTGGGGGCCAGAAATGGAAGCTGCCCTTGTTGGCCCCACTGTGCGTCAGGTGCTGTGCTGGGCACCTCACTACCGGGCTCCGGGCCCTCTCAGCACTGGGGGCAGAGCCTGTGGGCAAGCCCGTTCCCCAGGGAGGAAATGCCTCTCCCAGGCTGTCCCGGCCCCTGGTTCCCACGGGCCCTGCCACCCTGGAGCCCGAGCCCAGAGCCAGGAGCGAACAGCCCGCTTTGTCTTGCAGTGGAGCTCGACCGCTCCCTGGGCCACCAGGAGCCCCCCTGGAAGGAGTTCCGCTTTGACCTGACCCAGATCCCGGCGGGGGAGGCGGTCACAGCTGCCGAGTTCCGGATTTACAAGCTGCCCAGCACGCACCTGCTCAACAGGACCCTCCACGTCAGCATGTTCGAGGTGGTCAGAGAGCGGGCCAACAGGTGCCTGCCCACACCCGACTCCCGGTCAAACTCTGTGGGTGTGTCGGCCCAGCCCTGGGGGGACGGACGGGGGCTTCCTGGGAGCACACCCTCCAAGAGGAAGATGCTTGGCCCAAGGCCCTGGCACCCTGGCTTCAATCCCCTCCCTGGCGTCCTGGCTGTGGGACCTTGGACGGGTCACTGAGCTCCCAAGCCTCAGTTTCCCCTCTGTCCACGGGTGCGGCAGCACCTTTCTATGGCAGACGCAGTGAGATGAGGCAGTGAGGCGCCCAGCTCAGGGCCAGGAGGGCCGACGCCCCAGGAGTGGTCCCCAGGTGGGCACAGGAAACACGAAGGCAGCTGTGCCGGCTTCGGTTAATTGTTCTTTCGTATCCACAGGGAGTCTGACTTGTTCTTTTTGGATCTTCAGACGCTCCGAGCTGAGGACGAGGGCTGGCTGGTGCTGGACGTGACAGCAGCCAGTGACCACGGGTTGTTGAACCGTAGCAAGGACCTGGGACTCCGCCTCTACGTGGAAACGGAGGACGGTAAGGCCGGGGGTCAGGCAGCGAACCTTCTCCCGGGCTCTGATCAGAGGGTCCGGGTTGCACCCCAGCTCTGCAGCTTTCTGACGGGGACCTTGGCAGGTTACTTACCCTCCAGGCCTTGTTTGTCGCCTGTGGAAGGAGGAGTCAGGCCTCATTCATCCACCAGGTGTTTAGGGGCGGAGCCTCCTTTGTCCCAGGCAGTGGGCACAGAAAGCCCGAAGGTGGGCCCAGATCGCCTGTGTGACTACATCAAGGGGCCGCAGGGCTGGAGCAGAGGGGTCAGGGAGAGTTGGTGGGAGAGGAGCTGAGAGAGCAGGCAGCGGCATTCTGAGTTAGGGTAAGCCAGCTAAGGGGTGGAGTTTTTAGGGAGCTTCTTGAATTTCACAGCAGTGGAGGGCGGCAGGGTCTGAGTTAGCTTTGCATAGAAGAGCCCTCAAGGAGGTGTGGCGTCACTCCCATCCCTTAGTGTGGGCAGCCCTCAGTGACTGGCTTCCCCAGGACAGTGTGCAGGGGGAGGGGAGGGAACTGGACGCTGGGAAAAGCTGACCAGCACCACCTCAGCCAGGCGGTCAAGGTTCCCATGGAAACTCACTGGGCTCTCGTGTACCCTGGATGTGGGGGGGATGGGAGGGCTCTTCTCCTCGGGGGTCTTCTCCCCAAACCCATGGCCCAGTGTCGCCATGAGAAAAACATCAGACAAACCCAACTGAAGGGCGGCCTACAGAACGCCTGAACCGGCAAGGCCACCAACAACAGGGCCGCCCGAGAACTGCACAGCCCAGAGGGCCTGAGGCGTTGCCATGACTCCGTGCCCTTGGGGTCCTGGATGGGATCCTGGAGAGGAAAGGGACCTGGGGAAACGAATGAAATCTGAATAAATCGTGCTGTTGAGTTAAGAAGGTATCAATACCGGCCCATTCGTTGTGACAAATGTACCATAGTAATTGAGATTTAACATTTCCTGGGGGGCACTGCATTGGGTATAGGGGAATTCTCTGTACAAGCACCTCTGCAAGTTTTTCTACATCTCAACTGTTGTAAGTAAAAGCTTTATTTATTGTATGCATAAGCACACACCCTGACCGCAAGGAGATGTGTAAGCTGTGGGGGCAAGAGTGAAGGGAAGCCAGGGAGGCCCCGGCAGCCAGTGTCCAGGTGAGGGCTGGGCGGCTGGTAGCAGCAGAAATGGAGACAAGTGGGGAGAGGGGTCGGGAATAAAGTGGATGGAGCCATTGGATTTGTTTTTAAAGTACAGTTTACAGTCCATATGGTTTTCTGTTAATTTCAGGCGGACAGCATAGTGGTTAGACAATCATATACTTTACAGCCTTTCCCCGATATTTCTAGTACCCACCTGACGCCATACATGATTATTACAATAGTATTGACTATATTCCCTATGCTGTGCTTTACATCCCGGGACTATTTTGTAACTACCAATTTGAATTTTTGTTATTGCTGATTTTAGAGAGGGAGAGAGTAGAAACATCAGTGTGTATTTTCATTATTTATGCATTAATTGGTTGCCTTTTTTTAAAAAAATATTTTATTGATTTTTTACAGAGAGGAAGGGAGAGAGATAGAGAGTTAGAGACATCAATGAGAGAGAAACATCGATCAGCTGCCTCCTGCACACCTCCCACTGGGGATGTGCCCGCAACCCAGGTACATGCCCTTGACCGGAATCGAACCCGGGACCCTTCAGTCCGCAGGCCGATGCTCCATCCACTGAGCCAAACCGGTTTTGGCAATTGGTTGCCTCTTGTATGTGCCCTGACCGATGGCAGGGAAACCTTGGCCTGTGGGGACAATGCTCTAACCATTGGAGCCACCCAGTCAGGGCCTGGAACAACCAATCTGCACTTCTTAATCCTCCCCTTTTCACCCCCCCAATCCCAAGGCCTCTGGCAACCATCAGTCTGTTCTCTGTGTGCCAATGGGTTTTTAAAATATATACTTTTTTCCTTCCCTGAGCTGGGAAAAATAAAAGAGGGGCAGGTTTGAAGTGGGGAATGGCTCACTGGTAGCCCTCGCTGAGGTCCCTAAAAATGTCATTCCAGGACAGGTGCGCTGGGGACACAGGTTTGGGAACCAGTGAAACAGAAAAGTGGGTTTAGAGCCTTGAAACTGGGCAGGCACCTGGGAAAGGAGCTCAGCGATGGAGCTGGAAAGGGACTTGCCACTGAGTCTTCCCCTGAGGGGCTCCCCCCGGGGACCTTCATGAGCCCCAGAGCCAGTCCCAGGCCCTGTGGCTGTCCACCTTTCCAGGGTTGGGAGGCGTGGCGCCTTGGGTCAGAGAGGGAGGCTGGTCGGAGTGGAGGCACCAGCAGGCTGGCTCGTCCCCAGCCCGGAGCCCTCCTGTCTTCCCATGCACGGAAGGGTCGTGGGTTTGATTCCTGGTCACGGCACATACCCAGGTTGCAGGTTAGATCCCTGACTCGGGCGCGTGTGGGAGGCAAGTGATCGATGTTTCTCTCTCTCTCTCTCCATCCCTCTCTCTAAAACCCATAAAAGCACATCCTCAGGTGAGGACTAAAATAATAATAGAGAAGTTGCAAACCGAGCGAGCGCCGGGCGGGCGCGTGGCTGGAGAGGCGGCGGGCGGCGTGGAGGGCGCAGCGCCCCGCGCGGCGGAGGAAGGCGGGCGGCAGCCGCGCTCGGCTCGCTCTGCCCCGCCGGCCGGGCGCGCACCCGGGCCCGCACCGCGCCGCTGCGGGTGCACATGGCAGCGTGAGAGGCCGGCGGCGGGAGGAGCGGGGCCACAGGGCCGCATGGACTGCCGCGCCACCCCGACCGGCCCTCACTAGGGCCCCCAGGTCGCGGGCAACGGCCCCCCCCCCCCTTCTCCGATTATGGTGCCTCGGCGGCCGCCCGGGCCAGGTATACCCGGCCGGAGGTGCTGAGCCGGGGCCCCAGCGGCGGCCGGGAGCTGCATGGGGGAGCATGGGCGGCTCTTGGGAAGATGCCCCGGCCGGACCTGCCCCTGCCGGAGGGCTGGGAGGAGGCGCGCGATTTCGACGGCAAGGTCTACTACATAGACCACACGAGCCGCACCACCAGCCGGATCGACCCGCGGGACAGGTACACCAAACCGCTCACCTTCGCCGACTGCATTAGCGATGAGCTGCCTCTAGGATGGGAAGAGGCGTATGACCCACAGGTTGGAGATTACTTCATAGACCACAACACCAAAACCACTCAGATTGAGGACCCCCGGGTACAATGGCGGCGGGAGCAGGAGCACATGCTGAAGGATTACCTGGTGGTGGCCCAGGAGGCCCTGAGTGCACAGAAGGAGATCTACCAGGTGAAGCGGCAGCGCCTGGAGCTTGCACAGCAGGAGTATCAGCAGCTGCATGCCGTCTGGGAGCACAAGCTGGGCTCCCAGGTCAGCTTGGTCTCTGGTGCATCGTCCAGCTCTAAGTATGACCCTGAGATCCTGAAAGCTGAAATTGCCGCTGCAAAATCCCGGGTCAACGAGCTGAAGAGGGAGATGGTTCACCTCCAGCAGGAGCTGCAGTTCAAAGAGCATGGCTTCCAGACCCTGCAGAAAATCGACAAGAAAATGTCTGACGCTCAGGGCAGCTACAAACTGGATGAAGCTCAGGCTGTCTTGAGAGAAACGAAAGCCATCAAAAAGGCCATCACCTGTGGAGAAAAGGAAAAGCAAGATCTCATTAAGAGCCTTGCAATGCTGAAGGACGGCTTCCGGACCAACAGAGGGTCCCACTCTGACCTGTGGTCCAGCAGCAGCTCTCTAGAGAGTTCGGGTTTCCCGCTGGCGAAGCAGTACCTGGACATGAGCTCCCAGACGGACATCTCGGGGAGTGTCGGCACCAGCAGCCACAATCAGTTGGCGGAGAAGGTCCGATTGCGCCTTCGGTACCAAGAGGCTAAGAGGAGGATCGCCAACCTGAAGATCCAGCTGGCCAAGCTGGACAGTGAGGTCTGGCCTGGAGTGCGGGACTCGGAGAGGGACCGGCTGATCCTCATCAGCGAGAAGGAGGAGCTGCTGAAGGAGATGCGCTTCATCAGCCCCCGGAAGTGGACGCAGGGCGAGGTGGAGCCGCTGGAGATGGCCCACGAGCGGCTGGAGAAGGACCTGCAGGCAGCCGAGGACACCCAGAGCAAGGCGCTGACCGAGAGGTTGAAATTAAACAGTAAGAGGAACCAGCTGGTGAGAGAACTGGAGGAAGCCACCCGGCAGGTGGCAGCTCTGCATTCCCAGCTGAAAAGCCTCTCGAGCAGCATGCAGTCCCTGTCCTCCGGCAGCAGCCCTGGGTCCCTCACGTCCAGCCCGGGCTCCCTGGCTGCCTCCAGCCTGGACTCCTCCGCCTCCGCCAGCTTCACTGACCTCTACTATGACCCCTTCGAGCAGCTGGACTCGGAATTGCAGAGCAAGGTGGAGTTCCTGCTCCTGGAGGGGGCCACGGGCGTAAGGCCCTCGGGCTACATCACCACCATCCACAAGGATGAGGTGGCCAAGACCCAGAGGGCTGAGGGAGGCAGCCACCTGCAGGCCCTGCGCTCCCTGACCGGCACCCCGAAGTCCATGACTTCTCTGTCTCCACGCTCCTCCCTCTCCTCCCCGTCCCCGCCCTGCTCCCCCTCATCGATGACCCCCTCCTGGCTGGAGACGCCTTCCTGAGCCCCCTGGAGTTCGAAGATCCGGTGCTGAGTGCCACTCTTTGTGAACTGAGCCTTGGCAGTGGCAGCCAGGAGAGGTACCAGCTGGAGGAACCCGGAATGGAGGGCAAGCAGTTGGGCCAAGCTGTGAATACGGCCCAGGGGTGTGGCCTCAAAGTGGCCTGCGCCTCGGCTGCCGTGTGGGATGAATCCGTGGCCGTGGCCGGGGACAGTGGCGTGTATGAGGCTTCCGTGCAGAGGAGCGACCACACCTTCCCGGACAGAGCCCAGGTCGCTGCAAGGGATTCTGAGCCCTCTCTTTCCCGCGTGCCTTCCAGACTCGTGCGTCAGAAGCCCCTGCTTTTGACAGTGAG